CTGTGCGCCGTCTTCAACATTGTGACTTGAGACGAATCGCCGGGCCCGTATACTGTCAATCCGGATCCGAACTTCAGCGTCCTCATGCGGTTCTCGAGCTGTCGTAGAAGCTTAGCTTTGATGTGTCCGTCCTCTGGCTTGTCTACCCGCCGATTATTGTCACGTTGGTCCCCCTACGTCGCCTCGGGTTCCTTCTTGAGAGCCGACGCCATGATCCAGTCTGCGTCCGCCATGTCCCCCCTGCCCCTCGGCCCACGAAACGGCCTCGCTGATGCCGGGCAGCTCAAACTCAAGGAAGTGAGAAGTCAAGCGTGGCTGAAGATGTTCGACAAGTAACACGGATATCATCATTGTCGAGAGCGACGTAGTCACAGGCTGGGCATTCGCACGACGCTGGCTGGATAATAGTTCCGCCAGCGCGGCCTTTCTCAATATAACATGTACCTCGAATCATACTGTTATTCATGTGCCTCTTAGCATAGTCAACGGACGCGAAATTGGGGCCGCATGTTACACACTGACTGAATACACAACACATTCGCCCCAGTAGCTGCGATGTTGTTTGGAACCTTTCATTGCATATCCCCCCGTCGCCCATGAGCGCCGTGCAGCGGTGAGGCCTACCCTTCTCAATCTCCTCCTGTTTGTGCTCGTGCTCTTGGATGTTCAGAAAGTAATGTAGCGTGCCCAAGTCGCCCCCATGTCTAAGTGGGCGAACTCCCCCCCCCCCCCCCCCCCCCCCTCGAACATTATCTCCTCCACCCCATAGATTCTAATAGCCTAGCTCCGTCGTCGAATCGCTCGATTGCCTTGGCGTCGTCTAGTAGCTGCTCGCGCCAGGGTCTCGCTCTCTCGCCGCCGCTCGCGCACCCGTCGATCTCGGTCGCTTCGTCGCCCCAGGAGCGCCCGAAAATCACCGCCTGAAGCTGGGCAAACCTCGTGCGGTGCTCTAGACATTGCTGGGGCCACAGAAGCCTTCGGACCCTCATTTCGACGCGCGGGGCTGCTAGACGTACTTTAGCTAAGGCCTGGAGGTTGGACATGGTTCGGATGGCGCCAGCTTCTTTTTGTCCTGCATCACCCCTCATGCGTATCTTTGCACGCGCGGCGAGGGAGCTGAGGATGGGCTGCAAGGCCTGTGCTCGCATGGGCCCATTCTTTGAACGCAGAACTTCGGCTCCGCCGTAGCACGCATTCGCCGCGCATCCTTTGGGCAAAAGTATATCCCATGCAAAAGAGACACTGCTGCCCCAAAACTTGTTACGATTGTACCAGGCCGCTCTCCATGCTGTTAGTCTGCACTCGGTCTCGCAGGGGGCAAACCTGGCATGGGCGCGCGGCTCAAGGTGCCACGCAACCCCCCCCCCCCCTCTCCAAAAGCTGCTCGCGCAGAAACTTCGCCTCGAGATGCATGGAATCCTGGCCTGCCAGATAAAACAGATTCCCCTGCGCGCTGACGCGTTGTGCCATCATCGCCTCCGTCATTCCGCCCGATATTGTCTGATTCTGAAATACGCCTGCAGCCGCGATGCCCCTTGCGCTGTTGTCCACGCAGAAACTGTCTGCTGCACCGCCCACAAAGAGCGCGAAAGCTGCCTGTGCCCACTTGTTGCCCAAGGGCATAAGAAACGGCTAAGCTTGTAGTTACTGGTGTTAATCGATCCCACCCCCATCTGTCCGGCGCCCCCCCCCCCCCCCCCCCCGCACGCGCACGCGCGCACGGCGCGCACGCACGCACGCACGGCACGCACGCACGCACGCACGCACGCGCACGCACCACGCACACACACACACACACACACAACACACACCACACACAAACACACACACACACACACACACACACACACACACACACACACACACACACACACACAACGCACGCACACACACACACACGCACACATACAAACAGTCTAACCATTGCTGGGCCGCCTGGCAAGCACTCCTGCTGCGCGAGGAGCACCTCGTGAGACCCGTCCCCAGGCAAAATGAAACAGGCCAAAGTGACTCTGAACTTCATGACCTGCCAATCTTCCTCTCGAAAAACATGCTGGATTTCTTTGCGCAACGCATCGTGGTCCATGCCTTAGACGGCGTTGGTGGCGTCGTGAAGCCGCTCGGTGTGTGACTGACCACTCGGGTGCTGTTTTCTCCACGAGTGCGCCTGCTGAACCATGGCTGCTGCCTCCCGTCGCCATCCAGGTAGACATCCGCGCGCCCATGATTCAACTCCTAGCGGGGCTCCACGTGCAAGCAGACTGCGGAAAAATACCTTCGCAATCGTGCATACTAGCACGATGAGCCTCTCGCCGTTTAAGCCATCCCTGAGATTGCCTTTGCCTATTTTGCAAGCGTCTGGGCAAACCCAAGAGGGCGGCAACTTTCCACTTTCGCGTGTCCCCTGAAGAAGGCACCCCATAATGCAATAAGCTGGCGTGGCCGAATCTTTTCCTGTTTTCGTTCCTAGCCAAGCCCGCGTTTCTGCTGCAATCCTCTCCCGTTGACCCGGTTCGGGAAAAACGCCGCCCTCGGGAACTCTGCGCAGATGCTGCCACGCGGGGCAACCCCCACAAGCGTAATTTTCATATCTCCTGTTTGAAGGCTATGGTGTCCTCTTCTGTCTCCTCTGCGGTCACGGCGTTGTGCTGCCCAGGTAAGTCGTGCACCATCTGAGCCATAGCATCGGATTGTACGATCTGCGCTGAAGTCCCACCCTCTTCTCCCGTCAACATCACTATGTCATTACACTCCGACGTCGCCCCGCTGGTCGTAAGTTGCCTATATGATCTTCGTCGTGGCCCTCGTCCTCTGCACGCAAGAAGCCTGGCTATTCGATGCATCTCGTGATAACCTTTGATTGCTTCGATCCCCCGCGAAGGCGCAAACTCGATCCCCCTGTACTCTCTGCCAATATGTTTGTTTATGTAGTCGCAACCATCTGCTCAGGGTGGTAACCCGAACCGTAATATGTAGCTGCTGCATGTCTTCGTGTTCGGTGTATGCCCATGCGAGCGGGTCCCTGAGCTCGCGTCGTTGTCCAAGTCTCTGTTTTTGTTCTAACATGCTGCGTATTGCTCATGGCTCTCCGTCGGCCTCTCCATCTGCATACGTGTAACCTCTGCTCCCTTGACCAGTGCCTCCACCAAGAGTTGATGTACCTCCACTACCATCTCATAACGGGATATGTTCCTCACCCAAGCTGCTTTTGCCGATAAAGTGCCTTACGCTGCCTTTGTGAACCCTTTTCGTCTGTAGCCTCGTTGAAGAACGGCGCTGGCTGTCGGCTCGGGAATGAGATCTTGTGTCCAACAGAAACTCGCTCCCAGGGGCAGATGATCCCATTCCCTCCCCCACCGATGAGGCTGCTGTAGTCGCCGCGCGCTTCCTCTGAATGTCGTGCACCACTTTACAACAGATAGTAGTGCTCCAGGAATTGCTACGTAGTCCAGCGTTCGCGCCAAACCATTGAAAGCCACAAACGTGTAGCCTGCGTCCTTCATCGTGTTGACCATGCACCGTTCCTGGGCTGCGAGAACAGGCTTGAGTAATATTGTTGATATTCTTTCCTCTTCTCCATGTCCGTAGGGACCGATCATGTCACAAACTTCCTCGGTGCAAGCTGAATTGAAGTCCGTCGTGATTACGGGTACCCAGATTCCCGCCAACGAATCCTATACTTTTGAGAGCCATCTAATCATCGCTTCACAACATTGCAAGTACTTGATCTGCTGCGCCTTCTCTCTCGTGCTGGGCGGACAATACAGCGATACGAAACCAACTCTGACCGCTTGGCGCTCTATCTTGCAACATAGAACTCGTCCTTGTAGCCCTTTGGGGATCGACATGACTCCAAGAAAATGTGAGGGGCGGAACGATCGACTGTTGAACCAAATGCTGATGCCACAAGATTTGTTGGTCATCGCTCCCGCCTTCCACCCCTCAGTGTATCCCCGGAAGGAGGAACACTTGCGCATCTCTCTCTGTCCCTTTGTACTGTTTCTCCTGAGTGCCGATGAGCGTTGCAGCTGTGTGGTTGGACAGCTCCTCGAGTATATCCTGGGTTCGGGAGCAGTGGCGCTGTTCGGGTTGTATGCGACCACACTTAAGCGCCCATGCAGCGCCGCTGAGCACTCTGACATGGCTGAATGCTGTGTGTGCGTGCAGCTGTCATGCGTCTGGGTTCTGAAGCGGCGCGCGCGTCTCCTGGAAGCCTCATGCGGCCGCTTGGAGGAGGAGGAGGAGGAGGAGGAGGAGGAGGAGGAGGCGCCTGCCGTGTGAGCTGCTCTCGGTCTCTGTCCTGCCCCCCCCCCTTTGCGCCCGTCTTAGTGCCCAAACAGTGCTTGCAAATAGGGGCCTCGCTCCTCCTGATAATGTTGGGTCGGGCATGTCTTCCTACAGGCGGATGTTGAACGAAACGCTAGTCCAACAAATGATCACAAATAGCACCCACAAAAAAAAACTCAAACATCGTCCCCAGGCGATGCTTTGACTATGTTGGAGTATGCCTCCTGCAGAGGGACACGCCCGACAATGCTACTGAGTAAGTGGATGGGTCCGCCGAGACTTCGCCACGTGCCCGCGGGTGGGCGCCCCGTGGGCGCCCCGCGCCATGGGTGGGCCCGCCGAGGTTGCGCCTGGTGCCCGCCCGGGGGCACCTCGCGGACGCCTCGTGGGCGCTCGTGGCCCCCCGCGCCCTGGGCGGGTGCGCCGAGGCTTCGCCCGGTGCCCGCCCGTGGGCGCCGCGCGGGCGCCGCGTGGGCGCCTCGTGGGCGCCTCCTGGACGGGCGGCATCGCTTACGCAGCACAGCTCATACCGCATGCCGCGCAGCCTGCACCGAATGGCTTAACACAACAGCGCACGCACAGCACAGGTCGCACCGCATAGCTTAAGACAACCTAGCTCACCCCACATGGCTTACACGGCATAGTCAGCTAGCACCCCTGAAAGCTTCCTTTGTGTCCGGGGGGTGGAGCAGTGAGCATCCCAGCCTGGGGTCCTGGACGGCCTTCGCGCACTGGGCCGTCAGGTGCTCGTCGAAGGCCTCTCGTGGGGGCAGGAAGCTCGACTTGGGAGGGCTCGCACTTCCCCGCACGGGCCGTCCGAAAGATGGCGGGACCTCGTCTGAAATTCGGCGCGCGGCCCCGCTGCACGTCCTCGAGCCCTGGACCGCCAGAGTTCGCGCCGGCACGCCTCGATGCCAGCGGCGAACCCGAGTTCTAATAAACTCGATGTCTGACGTCCCCCCGACGACATCCTCTTCCGCGGCCCCAGGTCCCGACCGCTTCCCCGGGAGCAGCTTCTCGCCCCAGACCCGTCTCGGATCGCCTGCAGGGGCCCGCCAAAGCACCCCCTCCCGGGCTCCCGGGAGGAAAGGCTAAAAAACGCTGGCGGAAAACATATCACACCGCCGGAGATCTGGGCTTCCGGGCCATCACTCGTTACCTCTGGCGGCCATTCGGGAAGATCGGGCACCCCTGGAACGCTCTCGGTGAGGCGCAGCTGCTGGGAAGCATCCCCAGGCGAGAACACCTCCAGGAACCGACGAGAGCTTCCGAAAGCCCCCCAGAACAAACGAGGATCCCCTGGGAGCCGACAAGAAAAGCTCCAGGAACAAACGAGAACCAACCGAGGGCCAAGATCAAGAACGAACCCTGAGATCCGACGTCACTAACATAACAAAATTGCAACATCGCAGCAGCAACAAATCGGCCAGAGCCCTGGACCCTACCCATCTTCTGCGACATTTCCCAGGCCAGATCGATCTGTGAGGGCCCCGCGGGGCCTGACAGGGCAAAATCGCCAGTCGTGAAAAAATGTGGCGCTAGAACCCCTGGCGAGGACGAACCGCCAACTGACAAAAGCCACACTGCCGAAGAATCCGGGAGCGCCTCGTAGCGAACGGATGCCTCCAGCAGGAACCTAATTATGAGAACCGACCACGGGCCGAGATCCCCGACATCCTCCGGTATGTCTTGCTCGATGCGCGGCTCCACGAGCGCCCGACCCACCACCCCCGGGCCAGTGTTTCGCCCTGGACCCATCTTGGATGGTCCCAGGGCCCGATGGCAGGCCCCGGAGATCGAGGCCGAGGAAGCACGGCGAGGTTGAGTGGAATCGGGGACCTACTGACCCTTGGTCAACCCAGGCCCAGGTCGATCAGGCTATGCAGGGTCCTGCAGGATCCTGCAGGATCCTGCACCCAGGCCCGGGTCAGTGCGCCCCTGGCTCTGCCTGCAGGACCCTGCAAGGTCCGGCGCTCTGGCAGACCCCCCCTTTGCATTGACCCCCGTCTCAAGGCTTCTGGGATCGAGAGAGAGCCCTCCGCTGGCAAAAGTCAACCCGCCGGAGACTCTGGGAGACCGCCCCGTGCACAGAAATGTAAACTTTCGGAGGTCCGCGCGGATTCCTGGGACCGGCGCTGGACCCCCCTCCCTGGGGCACAGAATGCGCCGACGAAGGCGCCGCCAGGGAGGCCTGGCGCCGATCCGAGAAGCCCGCGCCGGGCTCCGGAAGTACATTGTGCAGCTATTCTCCGAGCCGAGGCCGAAGACAAACCTGTTCATTGCTTCTTTACTCCGAGGCCTCATTTTAGAAATCGAATAGGGGGCCCAAGCATATACACCACCACCACCACCATCCCCTCCCCCCCAGGACAGCGGACGGAAATAGAAGGGCAGAGGAGGGAGGAGGAATGGAGGTGCTGGTGTTGGTCCATGACCTTGGGGCCCGCATATAAAACGCCAGAAACAGACATTCGGCCTCCCAATTCTTCGATGCGTGGAAACCCGAGGTCTGGACCACGTTCCTAAAGCTGCTTTTCATCCTGAATAATTGTTTGAGGGTCCCGAGGCCCGGCGAGGGCCTCCAGAGGCCGAAAACGCCCAAAGACCGGCGGCTCCAATTTTGTGTCGGAGCGTCGGATCTCCAGGAACCCGCCCTCCCTGGAAGCCCCGACCCACTCCCCAGGGCCGGCTCCTCCTACTGAGCTGCTCTTTGACGGCCCCGGGGCCTATGGCGAGGGCCTCGGAAGAGACCAAAAACTGGGACAACAAACCTCGGCCTCTTGCCTTCTTCCATGCCTCCCCCCTTCGTCGGGTCGGGCGAAAGGGGGGGATAGCAAAGGGGGGGGTTGAGAATCAGCTCACGTAGCTGATTTTCCCGGCGCCTCCCGGCGCCGGGAGGCGCCCACGTATCGAGGAATGGGCCCCTCGGTCGGGCCGAAACCAGCTGCATGCAGCAGATTTCGTAACCCCCCCTTTCCCAAACCCCCCCTTTCGCCCGACCCGACTTCGGCAGAACGCCTCGTAGCGGATGCCGTGCACGACCAGGTCCACCACCACGGGGGCCCGGCTCGGGGCCCCGGCGGGCGCCTCCGGCGGCCCCGGCGTCGGCGCGGGCGTGCTCGGCGCCGGCGCGGGCGTGGGCGCCGAGGTGCGCTGCGCGGGCGGGGCCTCGGGCTCGTCGGCCTCGAGGCCGGGGGCGACGACGACGAGAACGACGACGACGACGACGACGACGACGACGACCACGACGACGACGACGACGACGACGAGGACGGCGACGACGACGACCACGACGCTGAAGACTGCGACGGCGACGGCGACGACGACGACCACGACGACGAGGCGCAAGAGGAGGAGGAGGAGGAGGAGGAGGAGGAGGAGGAGGAGGAGAAGGACCAGTGGAAGCCCAAGAGTATTCGACGATGTTAGAAGAGGCCCCTTCAACGGTTCATGTCCACTGAGGGAACTGCCTCTTTGGAAGACAAACGATTGAAGACTCTGGAGCATGCCAAAACAATGCTCTTGGGATACCAACGCCACGGATCAACCTGCCTGTTGCGTCTTGACGATCTTGAACTCGTAGGCACCAGAACACCATTCCTGAGACTTCAAAACAACGAATCCAAATAATTAGTGCGCCCTCATAATCCTGAATCCTCACAACAACGACAACACATGTTTGGTATGCTGATCATGGGAACCCGCTAAACGCTTGCACATTCTTCAAAGCGAATGTGCGCGACGCGAAGGCGACAACCACATTTTGATAACGAGCTCTCAATCCGTGAAACTCTTGCAAGTGTTTGAAACGAATGTGCGCGACGCTAAGGCGAGAGCCACATTTTGAAAACCACCCGCCCTCCATGTGTGAAACTGTTGTCATGCTTAAAGCTTCAGGGTCATGAATGCCCGGCCCGCCCTAACAACTGGCCTCGGGGTGCGACAGATTTATCGGGAAAAGGACTGGAGGAGGAGGAGGAGGAGGAGGAGGAGGAGGAGGGGGAGGAGGGGGAGGACGAGGAGAAGAGGCCTAGGGGAACAAACAACGGCACAAGGGGGTTCCAGCGCCGATCCGAGGAATCCGCGCGGACCTCCGCTTTCTTATGCTTATGTCATTGTTTGTTCCCCTAGGGGAGGAAGAGGAGGAAGAGGAGGAGGAGGAGAAAAAGGGGGAGGGGGAGGAGAAGAGGTCAGGCCAGGAAGTCCGCGAAAGCACCTCGATGAGAAGACGGAAGGGGTTCGAAGCCTATAGAGCCCCAGCCCACGGCCCGAACAAGGCTGACTGAGAAATAAGACCATCAGGGTCTCGCAGAACAGAGGGGCACAACGCCCAGGCACCACGAGCAGGCCCAGGTCAAGGAATAGGAGAACAACCAGAGGGAGAAACAGCGAACACAAAGAGCTCAAAGAGGAGGAGGAGGCGGAGGAGGAGAAGGCGGAGACGGAAGAGCGCGGGAAACATGGGTGTATGGGAAACAAACAATGTTACATAAACATACAGACTCAGAGGTCCGCGCGGATTCCTCGGATCGGCGCTGGACCCCCCCGCCCTGGCGCGCGGAGCGCGCCAGGGGCGGCGCCGGAGGCGCCGCCAAGGGGCCCCGGGGCCGATCCGAGAGATCCGCGCGGACCTCCGAATTGCTGTGCTTATGTCATTGTTTGTTTCCCCAGAGGAGGAGGAGGAAGATGCGGAGGAGGAGGTGGAGGAGGAGGTGGCGGAGGACGAGGAGCACGGGGAAGATGGTTGGGAGGACGAGGGTCAGGGAGGGGGGGGCGGGCGTCGTCGTGCGCTGTGCGAGCGGCGCCTCGGGCAGGTCGGCCTCTAGGTCGAGGCGGGGGGGTAGCTCTCTACAGTTTTCTGACGTGTTCGTATTCTTCTGTAGCTTCTGGTAGCTTTCGGGAGGGAGGCTTCTGCAGTTTTTTGACAGTTTCCGGCAGTTGTCGAATCCCTGGCCGGCTTCCAGCAGCTGGGCCTCGGGCGCTCCGGGGTGCCGGAGTCGTCCCGAACGGCTATGGCCCGGAAACCCAGGGAGCCCTAGGGTCCAGGCGTCGCACTTGACACGCAACAGGCGATTTCGCCCTCTCTCGGGCCCTGAACCCTGACGGGTCGAACTGGCCCGCAAAGCGCTGCAGAAAAATGAGGCCGGGATCCAGTACAGCTTTGGAACGACCTTGCATGTTTTTCGCGGCGGAGGAGAAGGAGCACGGCGAAAATGGGCGGGGATGGGTGGGGGGAGGCGTGCTCCTTCCCCTCCCCCCTCCCATCTCTGAGCCTCCCCCCTCCCCCTCCTCCCCTGACCCACCTCCCCCATCCATCCCCCCTCCACCCCACGCCCCGTGCCCCTGCCGTCTTGGCAGTTCCTCGCGGCGGAAACTTCGAGGGCCGAACACCTCCCGTCGCTATTCGCCCACAACGAGGGAAGGTCTCAGACACCTTCGTGTCCGAGATGGCGATTCGTCCGTGACCATGACCTGGGGGACCCACCTTCGGGGACCTCGGCAGGCGGGAGATGTGGATACAGCTGCCCCCCTCCCCCGCGAGGCCCGAACACATCCAGATGCACCGCCTGACGAGGTCCTCGAAGATCGATCCCCCAGGCGGTGATTAGAGCCCTGTTCGTGTTATTCGCGGTAACGCCCGTGACCGGCCCCGACCACCCCCCACTCCCCCCAACATGGTCCCTTCACCAATCGCGCCAGCGCTCTGGGAATGGGCCATGGTAATCATTCCCAAACGGCACGGGCGCGAATCGTGTGACGTTACCAGCCCCCCCACCCCCTCCCACCCCCCTGGTCACGTCTGTTCTCGCCAGGGGATCTACTGGTCTTCGGGTCGTAACTCAGCTCGCCGACGCCAGACGACGACGACGACGACGACGACGACGACGCCGACGACGACGACGACGACGACGACAGCGGCGGCGGCGGCGGCGGCGACGACGACGACGACGACGACAGCGACGACGACGACGACGACAGCGACGACGACGACGACAGCGACGACGACGACGACAGCGACGACGACGACGACGACGACGACGACGACGACGACGACGACGACGACGACGACGACGACGACGACGGGCCGTCGGCGCGGGCGTCGCGCGGTCAGTCGGCGCGGGCGTCGGCGTCGCTGGCGGCGGCGCGTCGTCGAGAGCGGCCCGGAGCAGCCGCCGGCGCTCCTCGAGGGCATCGGGCGGTCGAGGGGGAGAAAGAGGAGGTCCTCCTCCTCCTCCTCCTCCTCACTCTCCTCCTCCTCTCCTGCTCCTCCTCCCCCTCCTCCTCCTCATCCTCCTCCTCCTCCTCCGCCTCCTCCTCCTCCTCTTCCTCCTCCTCCTTTTCCTCCTCCTCCTCCTCCTGCTCCTCCTCCTCCTCCCTCGTCGTTGTCCTCTCCTCGTCCTCGTCCCCTGACCTCGTCCAAGTCATTCGGCCTTTCCTCCTCCTTCTCCTCCTCCTCCTGCTCCTCCTCCCCCTCCTTCTCCTCCTCCTCCGCCTCCGCCTTCTCCTCCTCTTCCCCCTCCCCTTCCCCTTCCCCCTCTCCCTCCCAGCCCCTCCTCCTCCTCCTCCTCTCTCCTCCTTCCTCCTCTCCTCCCCTCCTCCTTCTCCTCCAGGTCCTTCCCTCTCCTCCTGCTCCGTCTCCGCGTCCTCCTCCTCCTCCTCCTTCTCCTCCTCCTCCTCCTCCTTCTCCGCCTGGCCCCTCCTCCTCCTCTCCTCCTCTCCTTCTCCTCCGTCCTCTCCTACTCTCCTCCTCCTCCTCCTCCTCCTCTCCTCCTCCTCCTCCTCCTCCTCCTCCTCCTCCTCCTCCCCTCCTCCTCCCTCGTCTCTCCTTCTCCTCCTCCTCCTCCTCCTCCTCCCTGCTCCGTCTCACGCGTCTCCCTCCTCCTCCTCTTCTTCCTTCCTCCTCCTTCTCCGCCTCCTCCTCCTCCGCCTCCTCCCTCGTCCTCCTCCTCCTCCTCCTCCTCCTCCTCCTCCTCCTCCCTCCCCTCCCCCTCCCCCTCGCTCCTCCTCCTCCTCCTCCTCCTCCTCCTCCTCCTCCTCCTCCTCCTCCCTCGTCCTCGTCCTCCTCTTCCTCCTCCTCCTCCTTCTTCTCCCCCTCCTCATCGTCCGCTTCCCCCTCTTCCTCCCTCGTCCTCGTCTTCCTCCTCCTCCCCCTCCGCATCGTTCTCCTCGGGATTTGTTGTTTGGCCACTGCGCCGCTCAGCCACGAAATATCATGCTCCTCTCGGCCTCTGGGGCCGAGCAGCCGACGAGCTCGGCACTGGTGAAAACACTGGCAGACGAGCATGCACCGATTCGCCGACGATCCAGGCAACCGCCCCCGCAGCACTTGTCAAAGAAAGACAGGTCAGCAGACTCGGTGAAAAAAAACGCTTCCTACGCTGTTGGCCTCAGCGTCCTGCGAAAACCGAATCTAGCTGCGGGTACATGCAAACCAGGATCCGCTTCTGGTAGTTCTGAGCACGCCGAGGTTTAGCTGGCTGGCCGCAACACTTTTGGCTGAAGTACCAAATAGAATTCCCTGCCGAGAACGCTTTGCAACGAAGACCGACAGACAGACAGACAGACAGACAGACAGACAGACAGACAGACAGACAGACAGACAGACAGGCACGATACCTCCGTCAGAACAAGAAAGACCGATGCACTGATGCCCGAGATTATGAGGCGGGCCCACCTCAAGCTGTTTTCTGTGCAAACTGAAGTACTACGAGGCCACACACCCCGACACGCTCTCAAACGGTGGTTGCGCTGCCAGACGGACCCGGCCTTTCTCCGCTGATGAGGTCGTCGAGAATGGCGGGGGCACATGCTCGGCCTTGGCCCTGGTGGCCTCGGACAGATCGCATGCAGGCCAAAACGGGAGCAACCTGGCCGCCAGCAGACAAACGGCCTCAGCGGCCTCGATGCACCTATCGAGCCACTCCGACTGCTTGGGGCTGGGCCTGAGGAGGAGGAGAAGGAGGAGGCGGGGGCGAAGGAGGAAGAGGAGGAAGAGGAGGAGGGAGGCGAGGGCGAGGAGGAGGAGGAGGAGGAGGAGGAGGAGGACGGGGAAGATGGGCGGGGGGATGAGGGTCAGGGGGGCGGGCGTCGTCGTGCGCTGCGCCAGCGGCGCCTCGGGCACGTTCGGCCTCGAGGCCGGGCGAGGGAGGGGGGAGGAGGAGGGGGAGGAGGAGGAGGAGGAGGAGGAGGAGGAGGAGAGAGGGAGGAGGAGGAGGGAGGAGGAGGAGGAGGAGGACGAGAAAGAGTAGGAGGGGGAGGAGGATGACGAGAAAGAGGAGGAGGACACGGAGGAGGAGGAGGAGGAGGAGAAGGAGGAGAAGGAGGTGGAGGAGGAGGAGGAGGAGGAGGACCCGGAACATTGGATACGAGGTCGTGTTGGTCGCGATCGGTAGCGACCGATCGCGACCGATCGGTCACGACCGATCGGTCGCAACCGAACTTGAAGCAAATGGGTCGCGACTGGTATCAGAGTTTGAAGCAAAGTCGGGTAACAAAATTCGAGGCGGCCCTATATTGAGGAGACGACGCGCTGTTTTTTCGTGGCTCGGGCCCCCAGGGATCCGGACCCTGTTCCCAGCGCCAGCTTCTCATCCTGAGTCGTTGTCCGACGCCCCCGGGCCAGGAGACGGTCTCCAGAGGCCGAAGACGTCCAAAATCTGGACGTCGTGATCTTCTTTGGAAACACGTAATCTGGGTGGACGGCAGAGGGTGGAATACAAAACCGCCACCCACTTCCTCGACGGGACCGTTGCGGGCAGGTTGCGGCAGCGGGGCAAGCGAGACGTCCTGCGCCAACGCAAGCTCGTGCCGAGCGGACGCCGAGCCCGGTTGCACGGACGACCCGGTTGCACGGACGGCCATTCCAGGCTGTGCTCAAGGCCGCATCCCGTGGCACTCCGAAAGGCTCCTCGAGAGGCACGACCGATGGCATGGTTTGCCCACGTGTTCTCCCAAACCGCCAAACTAGCTTCGAACTGCGAAAAGGATGATAGAATGCACAACGGAATTCGGCAACAACCCTCTGCGCTCTGAAGCGCGGGGAACCATTCCAGAACACAGCAAAAACACTGAATGGTGCCCCATTGAATATAGCAGGCGAACCACTTGTGAAGCTAGAACGCCAATGAAACAATGAGAATACTATACATAGGTAGATACATGCACGCATGCATACGTGTGTACGATCATGCAGACCTACATACATTTACTTATATACATACAGACAAACAGACAGACAGGCAGACATACAAACGAACAACTAAACAGACATGTATGCATGCATGCATGCACATATTATGGATAGCTGGTAGGTGTATGTTTACTTATAGAGAGAGAGAGAGAGAGAGAGAGAAAAAAAAAAAAGCCTAAGCGATTCTAGGAATTGGGATTCACCTGTCGGGCGCCAGCCGCATGCTCGTTGAGGTGGCGGTGCTAGCCCGCGTGTTGAGGCAGACGCTGCGCATGCCCAGACCACGGGAGCTCATAGAGCTACGGATGCATCTCACTATGTCTCCGCATGGGGAAGCGTCGCATTAGCATAGTAGTGGACGCCCACAGCTGCGCGTGCGCATGCCAATACACAGCATGCCGCTCGGCCAGCAGGTCACCAGACCACTGGGCGAATCGGACTTCAAGGTGCAAGCGCCCGTATGGAGACCACCCTAAGCCCTGCACGCATAGACAAACACTCGACTTGTCGATGTGAAAGAACGGAAAGTGATTGGCGGCGGAGCCGAAACAATACGCTCGCAGCAGATGTCCGCCTCCCGATCCTTTCGCCCGTCCCGATCCTCGAGGTACTCGAAGAACTGTTCCTTCCGCACGCAGTCGGCGGCCGGGATGGCTCCCGGGTCTAGCCTGCACCTGCGCAGGAAAACTTCAAGGATCGAGCTTCCAGGATCCGAGCTTTTTGGTGCGTTTCGGGGGCCTCCTGGGGACTCCTGCCGTGGCCCTGGGAGCCTAGCCGCCCCCAGGCAACCAGGACCCCGGCCGCTTACGGGAATCGGCAGCACACTTTCACCATTTGGGTCCCGAAACGGCGCAGTGCCAGACCGTGCCGTGACCTCGGAACCCCCCAGGACCTCACCGCACGGTCGTCACCGCGCAGAGCCGCAGTCGCCCGAAACATTCTCGGAAAACGACCCACGTCACAGGTCACAAAACCGTGCGGTCGCCCGGGATCTCCGCTGACTCACCACGTGGTGTGGTCACCGCACCGTTCGGGGGCCCCCGAGCAGTGCAAGCACTGACTGCGGAAGCCCGGGATATCGGACCCCCAGCCGACCCCCAAAATCGGCCGAGTGCCGACGCCCGACCACCATACACCGAACCGCTCAAACCCAAGCAATTGCTCGCGCGTAGAGCGTGAAGACAGCGCGCTTGTGGTCGGCGAGTGGCCATCTGGGTCACATCATATACGCGTTCTTTCCTTTATATCTCATGATCGACTCTCTACTCTGCACCCGCCTCCACATGGGAAATATTTTCCGCGGCCCTCTCCACGCTCTACGCTCTACTCTCGACCCTCGCCCTCCCACACACTCTTTGCCATCTACTCGCCAAACGCAAAAGAGGATGTGATTAAACTGCATGAGTTGTAGAAGAAGCAGTGGGATGGGCCGAAGTCCAATATATACGACATGCTCTACACTATCGTACACTATCGTTCACTGCTCTACACTATTTCTCCCTGTATATATAGAGAGAGAGAGTCTCTATCTCCCTCTCCCTCCCTCTACTTTCTATAATGCCTCCACTCTTGCTACCCTCCCTCTCTCTCTCTCTCTTCCTCTCCACTCTTGGAAGCCTCTCCCTCTTCTCTGCCCTCCACTCTCGGAACCCGTGAACATGAGCCGCCCCCTGGCAGCGGTGGGAAGTCCTTCGCCCCGACCTGAGGACCCCGAGCCCAGACCAGCAGGCGCGGCACGCTGCCGCCGGAGAGCCAGGGGCCCAGAGAGAGGACGGCCGCGGCCGCCGTGGCCTGGCGCGCTCTCGCCGACAGTCCGCACGGCACAGGGAGCCCAGGACCCGGAACCGGGAATCTGGGGGTACAGTTGAGGTCGGGCATGTCCTCCTACAGGCAGAGTTGGGACGAAAAGTCCGGAAGTACTCCAACAAATACCCCACAATAGCAAAACATATGAAACAAAATCGTACCCTGACTATTTTCCTACTATTTTTGGATACTCCTCCTGAAGAGGGGCGCGCTGATCCAAGAAATCCGCACGGAGCGCCAAAAGTTTATGTTTATGCCGTGGTTTCTTCCTCGAGCAAGGAACCCAGGACCCGAAACTGGAACCCGCCAGCCGAAGCCGGCCTGCGTGTTTTGCCAAGTCCTTGCAGTCTCCACCCGAAATCCATACATCCGACGCTGCGCTTGTTTGTGCAAGGTGGCTCGAGGTCTGGCCCCTTTCTGGGGACAGGCGACAAGCTTTCAATCCTGAGTCGATGCCTGACGGAGCTGGTGCCCCGCGAGGGCTGTCAGGTGACCGCTTCGGCGTAAGGACATCTGCCATCGTGTTTTTCTCACGACGCGAGGCTGTCAGGCGACCGCCTCGGCGTAAGGACTACGCAGGGGCGCGCCCGACGTCCGCGGCGCTCGGGGAGGCAAAGCAGGCGGGGGGCACCTCAGACCCTTCGGGCGGCCCCTCCGCGGGGCCCGAGCCTTGGCCGACAGCGGCGCGCGCCCCTGGCGAGGCGCCGAGCACGGCGCCCCCGATGTCCCCAGAGATCTGGGCGCTGCAGATCTTTCACGCCGCGCGCTTGCGCCCGCTTGGGGCCTCGGGCTCGAGAAAGGGCGCGAAAGGATGGGGTCTCGGGGGCTCCGGTCGTGATCTTGAGCGATGCTGCATCTGTTTTGCTTGCAACGCCGGATCTCGGGGCCGGCGGACGCTGGTCCGAGACTGTGGCCAGCGCCCCCCTGGCCGATCGTGGAGGCCCTGAAGCCAGAAATACAAGCGTCTCGCCATTGCCTCCGCTGCCTTCTGCAGGGATAGCGCCTGCGGACCCGCCGCCGGCTTGCTGCCGCTGGCTTCCGCCGGTGTTCCGCCGCAGGCCAGGGCCTCTCGCAAGGGCATGGGGTGAAGAACCCTTGGGTCAGAGATCCAGGGTCTGGAAGCCAGGGGAACTCCAATCGTGGATTGGCCATGGTTGCCACCGCCGCCCACATCAGATATAAGGAATCCTCCAGGGTGCGAAGCCTCCCGGGCACACACTCCTCAACGAGCGCCCCCACCGTATTTGGAGCGCCCCGCCTGTCGGGGAAGTCCCCGATGGCGTCCCTCAGGCGCTTCGTGGAGAAGCTGGCCAAGAAATCAAGCTCGCTCATGATGCCCTCCGAGCACCTCCGCCAGACGTCCTCCAAGGACGTCCCAGGCGGCCTGCCAGGAGTTGGCGATGAGCACGGGCAGAGGCACACCCACAGCCAATCACGGGAACCCACAGGATAAACAAATGTTACAGCTGATTGGTCCAGGGCTAAACAACAGGTAATTTCCACTGACGTTTCAAACCGGTCCGCGCCAGAAGAAAACGGCAGGGCAGAACAAAAAACACCGTCTTGTTGAACGCCGTGGGCACACAGCATACAACTGCGTCCACACATTGACAAGGTACTGCCATGAGGATCGCTGCGCAAGCGAGGAAGCTCCACCTTGGCGCCAAAGGCGCCTGGGTGCCCGAGGAGCACTACAGCAGAACAGCTGATCGAAAACATCATCATTTAAGATATCTAGCCCAGCCTTGCGAAGTTCTCTTACAACAGGCCTGGGGCAATTTCTGTTGCTCGCGCTGGATTGGAGCGAACGTGGTGAAGAAGCTGGGCCAGCTCTCCAGCCAGCTGGCCAAGAAACGCTGGCCCAGCTTTGCGCAAAGAGGTTTCTTAACCATACGCTCGGCCGTAGAGGAATACACCCTGCGAAATGCTTAAGAAATCATGGGTTAAGAAATTCATAATCTCAGAACTTGAATAAAAACCCAACATTCCCACTAAAAACTTAAGATTTACATTGAAACGTTAAGAATCATCGAGACTCTGGCCGAAAACTTAAGTTTTCTTAAGCATCGCCTAAGGTGTAGCCATGGGAGGACCCCAAGGAGCAGCAGGCCCCTCCCGAGCCCGAAATGCTCCTCCATTCCAGCGCCCCGGCTGTGCGAGCGTCCGAGGTCCGCGCAGACCCTCTCGGGACGACGCCGCCGGCTCACCCGCCCCCAACCCGACGCGCATGGTAGAAGGGGACGAGCAGGAGGGAGAGGACGGGGGGAGGGCGGGAGGGAGGGAGGGAGGGAGGAGGGGGATGAGGATGAGGATGAGGATGAGGAGGAGGAGGAGGAGGAGGAGGAGGAGGAGGAGGGGAGGAGGAGGAGGAGGAGGAGGAGGAGGAGGAGGAGGAGGAGGAGGGCACGAAGCTCGGCGGACAGGTCGATCTGCGGCCTCGCCTATGCTGGCATGCGGTGCAGAGCGGCCAGTCTCACTCCAGACCGATGATCCGCTCCGGAATCCAGGCCCACGTCCACGCGGTGCTTCTGGACGTGGTAGCACTGGCACATGAGGCCCACCGCGTAGATGCAGTCCGTGATCGGTCTCCCTGCATGGTACTGCGCGTCGCCGAACCCGAGGAGCTCCACGCCGTGGCCCAGGGAGTCCGCGCCAGCGTCGCCCGCGGTCATCGCCCTGAGGATCGGGCAGACGATGTAGTGCTCGAGCGCGTCCTCCTCGTCGCAGCCGAACAGGCATGGCCGCGCATCGATGACGGCACTCATGCGGCGCGATGTCGTCCAGCCGTTGAACGCGGCGCGGATCCACGACCACATCCATGCAGGGCGGACCTCCGACAGCTTGTCACGCAGCGAAGGCCACCTCTCGCGCAGCTCGGGAAGCGAGCACACGACTCCCCACCTGCGCAGCCGACGGTGGATGGTGGCAACCAGGTCCTCGGGGTACAGCGAGCCTCGGAGCGAGATGGCGGCCGTGGCCTGGCGCTTGGGCTTCCTGTTGGGGATGGCCGCTGCCGCCGCCTCCGTCTCCTGGGTCATCGCCGCCTTCGCAATCTTGATGTACATGCTCGGAATCGGGACCGAGAGCGCATCGAGCGTCGGTCTGGGAATGTCCAACTGGCCGTAGGTGTCCGTGATGAGGGCGAAGTTCTGTACGATCGCCCTCCGCGTCTGCCACCACGGCGGCGACCAGTTGCCCTTGATCACGTCGACCAGTGGGGCATGCTCCACCGCAGCTTCATGAAGGTGGTGAAGGTGAGCTTCCCATCCGCGCACCGTGTTCTCCGCCGTGCGCAGCATCGCCGCGAGTGTGCACGGGAAGAGGCCCGTCGGCGATGGGGAGCCGCACCACGCGCTCATCGACAGGATGTCGGCCTTGCGCATGGACGAGGGCGGCAGCCGCAGCAGGCGGTGCAGGGAGGTGAACTCGACCTTCCAGATGGCTGGCACAATGAAGTAGAACTGCGCGAGGTACGACAGGCACGGCAGCGCGTTGATGTTGTACGCGCGGGCCGCAAGGCTGGTGGCCATGCCAGTGCGCGCCAGCTCCCAGCAGCGGGTCCACCATTTCCCCGCGGCAGCCTTCCAGATGCCGAAGTCCGTGACGCCTGGCCCCAGGTATGTCCCCAGGTACTTGGCCGCGGAGTCGACGCGGAAGCCCGACCAGCGGGGGACCTCCTCAGCGAGGAAAGACTTAACGTCCTGCAGGGTGTCCTCCGAGAGCTCCTCCCACAGCGGAACCAGCGCGCACTTGTGCAGCGCCAGCTACAGCGTTCTTGATCAACATCCCGAGGTCGTCGGCGCAAGCCGTGAGGATCCCATGCTCTGCGATCGCAACCAGCAGCGCGCGGATGGGCGTGTCCATGGCCAAGCGCCAGGCCGTGCCAGAGAGCGGGCATCCTTGCATGATGCCGCACAGGAGCGCGAACAGCGGCTCGAACTCCGCGCTGGTGCCCTCGGCGCGGAAGGAGCTGAAGGCGAGGCAGTTGCTGTAGAGCGCCGCGACCACGTTGCAGAAGCCCAGCGGGGCCCCGTAGCGCGGGAGGACCTTCTCGATGACTTCCCTGAAGAGCGAGGGGAAGGCCTGACGGAAGTCGAACGACAGGAACATGGGGCGGCGGGCCGCCGCGTCAGGAAGAAGACCCTCCCGACGGCATTCCGCGTCCAGGTACGGGATGTGGTCGACGAAGCGCCGACCAGCAATGAAGCCCTTCTGCTCGGGTGAGGTAGATGATGTGGCGATGGGCTGGAGCCCACGATCTGCGCAGGCCGCTATCAGCTTGGCGTCGCAGTTCTTCAGAGAGAGGGTGCGCACCGTGGAGGCCGTGCGCGTGCAGGAGTCGGGGGCGTCGTCCGCCTCCGTGCCCTTCGGTGCGCAGATGAAGATCGACCAGTTGAGGTCGAGCGGGGCCACGCCGTCGTTGAAGAGGACTTCCATGAGACCCTGGAGATGCTGCAAGGCTCCAGGGCTGCGGCGCCACGCTGCGTACGACAGCTGGTATGGGCCCGCAGCGCTCGGCGGGGCCCTTCTGGCCGCACGTTCCAAGTCTTGTAGAGCTGGTTGAGGTAGTTCCACCGCGTGCTTCAGTGGCGCGTGCTTGTCCAGGAAAGCGCCCAAGGCCTTCAGCTGTTCGGAGTTCGGCACCTTCGCGAAGATCTCGCCCCAGTAGTTCGCCACGGTCGCCTTCATGCCCGCGGGGTCGGAGACCACGTGCTGAGCCACCTTCGAGTCCTTGGCGGCACACGGTGCGGAGTCCACGCGCAGGCCCGAGAGGATCATACGTCGCCGCCACGGGACCCAGAGCTGCGCATGCCTGGCGGCCTTGCGCTCAACCTTCCGCCAGGCTGCGCTGTCGCGCACGTTGGCCGTCCGAGCTGCTGCCTCCGCCGCCTGCCTGCGCAAGGAGTGCACCCGCTCGGCGACGGCGTCGAAGTTGGTGGCGAAACTGTGGGCGTCCACGAGGCGCACGGTGCCGTCGGTAACGTGGAGGTGGGCGGCCAGCGCAGGGCAGGACTCGAGAAGCCTGCCTGCCAGTACAGCGTCCTGTCGCCAGACCGCTCGCGCCGCCGACTTGAAGCCCATGTACGAGGCCTCGACCATGTAGTCCTTGACGTGTAGGGGGAAGTTGGTCCGCAGCTGGTCATCACGAACGCGTCGCGCTGCGAGTTTCATGCACTGCTTCGCTGCTCTCCAGCGGCCTTCCGCCGTTTCCCCGCCAAGGAGCAGTGGTCCAGCATGAGCGTGTAGGTCTCAGGGTACTTCCTGTGGTTGAAGAGGTGCGTCGGGACTGGCTGCTCATCTCGTGGTACATGGCGTGCGGCAGTGATCTGCAGGACGAGGGGCGCGTGGTCGCTGATGCCCTCCTCGGAAAGCTCCATCGCGTCCCTCGCAGTGGTGAGGATCGTCGAGACCGAGAGCATGGCGTGCGCGTCGATGCCCAAGAAGATGCGGTCGATCGTGGACAGCTGCTTGCTGGACTTGTCGTAGTGGGTCGGCCACTGAGACTCCACCTCCAGAGCTGCAGCGAATAGACGGCGCCACGCAGGTTGCCGAAGTTGGTAACGGTGATCAGGTCGAAGGCGCCAAGCTGTGGTGTCTGTAGGTGCTCGTTGACTGACTGGCGGGCGGTCAGCTATGTTGAAGTCACCGACGCCCAGGAAGATGCGGTGTAACGAGTCGCGGCGCGCCCACGCCAGGCCACTGGACCAGGTGCGCTGCACTGCGGCGAACTCGCGCGGCTTGAGGTCGTAGTTGTGGACGTTGAAGATCTGCATGCTGTACTTGCCCGCGCGGTCGGTGATCGCGAGGAGCGCCGCGCGGCCGGCCGCCACTATGTCGAAGCGGTAGGCCGGTAGAGCTGATGTGGAGCTTCGCGTACTTGACCAGGTGTTGTTCGGTTGCGACGTGGATGTCGTGGGAGAACGTCGCGTACTTGACCAGGTGTCGGGAAAACTTGCTGTCGTAGGTGAAGAGGAGGTTCGCGTACTTGACCAGGTGTCTTGAGTCGGCGTAGATGAGGCGCGAACTGGTCCAGGTGTCTTGACTGTGATGCGGCAGTTTTCCACAAATCATCGCGGGAAGACAATGGCCACAAAATGGCGTAGTAGGGGGCGAGGACCGCACAGGAGGTCTTCCACGTCTCGCCTCACTCCCTTCTCCCAGAGATTCGGCTCTGGGCCCATCCACCCTTGAGACTTCGTCGGCGTATCGAGGGACGAGAAAGGCGACTCCGCCCACGGCGGCGGAAGAGCCAGGCGAGAGGAAGCTCAAGTACTTCTGCGGCTGCGACTGGAGGAAAATCCTGAGAGCGTCCGCGGAGCCGTGGACCTCCTGCACGGCGATGATGGCGTTGACCTTCATGTAGGTGGCGAGCAGTGCCAACTTGCGTCTGCGCAGCCTCGCGTCCGAGTGAAGCAGGCCACGGGCGTTCCACACGACCAGGTGAAGTCCACGAAAGCCATGCCGTGCTCCAGGAGGTCGCCACGGCGCCCACAGTGGGCTGCTAAATCCACTCGGTGTTGTCCTCCATGGAGAAAGCCTTCTTGAACTGCGTGTTGATGGACTCCCTGTCGATGTGCAGCCTGGCGACCATGTCTGGGTTCCACCTGATGATGGTGTCGGTGTTGCGGGATTCTCCCATCTCGAGCTTGGCCACCTTGACGCCCTGGGAGGTGACGATACCTCGGGCCCGCTGAGCACTGAAAGACTGATCAGGAGGAGCTTCTGCCAGCAAGAACGAGAGCTTCCTCGACTGGATCTCCATTCGTACTTGCTGCGGTGACTTGTCAGGCGAGAGGTACAGCGGGACGACGCCTCCGCCGACGCTCTGCGAGCTGAAGGAGCGCCACCCGTTCCTGCCAGCTGGGTCACGTAGATGCCGCGCGAGAGCTTGGGCCCGAGGGAGAGCGACTCCGTCGCCGCCCTGCACCATGACGTTGAAGCGCTTGGCGGGGACCGCGGGGTCGATGCGGACCATGTCGTTAGTGAGGCCAGCCGCTCGAATCCACTCCTCCAATCCTTGAAGAGCTTGGGCAGGTCCGACCAACTGCGGCGCCCCAATCGAGAAGATGCGCGGGTTGGGTTGACGAGACCACACCTCCAGCTCCTGAAAGTCCATGATGGGCAGCTCCTTCTCGGCGAGGGCCAGGGCCTTGTTGATGTCCCCGAGCTGCTTGCGCATGGCGGCCTGCTCCGACTCCAGCGCGTCTGCGCGCTGTCCGATGGAGGCGATGTCGCGAGTCTGCACAGCGAGGGACCTGTTGACCGCCTCCTGCTGGGACTGGAACATGCGCACCAGCTGCGTCTGGCAGGAGGTGACCTGGGCCATGGAGGTCTCGGCGATGGCATCGGTGGCCTGGCGTATGCAGCTCTTCAGCATGGCCTGCACGTCGATACCGCCAGCGTCCACAGGAGTGGCCATCCCACCGACAGGAGTGCCAGCGGCAGGTAGTTCAGGGTGTCCAGCAGCGGGGGCGGCGCGATCATGCCAAGGGTCCCTGCCAGGGCGTTGCCACGGGCCAGGTGGAGCATGTTGAGGTCCAGCTTGTTGAGGTCCAGCGGGCGCTTGTTCCACTTGCATGGCCTGGCGCTCCTGCGTGGGGAAGGTGGCCGCCGCCTCCATAGCAGCCACGAGCTCGTCCTGCGCGGCGCGATCGAGTCCTCCGAGACCTGGGCGATCACGGTCGCTGGCCTGCGATCCCGAGGCGTCCGCCTCGCCGTCGGAGCGCGGGCGGCCACGGCGAGCCCGTCGCCGCGCTGGGGCACGCTCGTTCGTGCTGCGGGAGGCCGAGCGCAAGTCCTCGGCTGGAGGCTGCTCCTTGCCCTTGTCGCCGCGCCTCCGACCGTCAGCAGCACCAGGGCCACGATGGCCGCCGCCAGCACGGCCCGTCTTGCGCCGCTCCTCGTCGGCCGCCATGCACTGCTGGAGAAAGCCCTCGCGGGCGCAAAACTGTGGGTCCTCGCGGACCAGGCTTTGGCGGCAGCTCGCCCTGGTTGTGGCTGCAAAAAAGTCCCCACTCCTGGCCGCGGCACAGCGGTATCCATTTGGACACCGCTGCGCACCAGGACATCTTGAGCCAAAATGGCTACGGAGGAGGAGGAGGAGGAGGAGGAGGAGGAGGAGGAGGAGAGGAGGAGCAGGAGGAGGAGGAGGCGGAGGAGGAGGACGAGGGGTAGGGGCGGCACCAGATGTGCCCCCAAGTGGGGAAGGGGGGTCCAGCGACGCCCCGAGAAATCCGCGCGGACTTCCGAGCTCTCATGATCATGCCGACGCGCCAACACCGTCGGGAACATTTGCTCAGCCTGTCCTGTCGCGGCGGCGGCCCCGGCAACACGCTGTGCCTTGCAAGAGGCTGGCGTGTCGCTCCGCTTCGTGGCGCGGGAGGCTCGGAAAGGCTCTGGACGCTGGCGCCTGGGGACCGGAGAGTAGTTAGCGTGTCGCGCCAGGGCGTGCAGGGCCAGCACCGGCGGAGCGACACGCTATTCCGAAGTCGGGAGCGACACGCTACCCCAAAGTCCACCGCAGGTGCGGGCTCGACTTGTCGGACCCCGAGGGGGGCTGGCCGTCCGAGCGGGGACGCTCGTACGACAACACGCACTCCTGCGGTCGAGAACTTCTGCTCCGCGTGCCGCGGCGACGGCCCTGGCGACACGCTGCGCCCTGCGAGCGGGTGGCGTGTCGCTCCGCCCCGCGGGGCAGGAGGCTCGGACAGGGGCGTGACGTTGGCGCCTGGGAGAATGGGGCGTGGTTCGCGTGTCGCGCCGAAGCGCGGCGGGCCAGCGCCGGCGGCGCGACACGCTGAGCCAAAGTTCTGGACCGCAGCCCCCCACGGAGTTCCACCCCGAGGGACCAGGGCGTCGCACAGGCGCGGGTGCTGGTGGCCAGCCCGCGAGCAGGGGCGGCGGGGCGGCGGGGCGGGGAGCGGTGCGCCGGGGGCAGAGGGGCTCCCCAAGAAGAGCCCCCGTCGAAGGCGGGAGGGTCCCCCTCGAGCACATCGAGGGGGCGAGGAGGAGAGGGGGGCTCCAGAGAGGGCTAATTCGACAGCAAGGAGGTATCCGAGAAGCCGCCCCCCCCTCGCCTAAGGCCGCTTCCCTCGCCCCCCTCGCCAGGCGAAGCTCGGCCAGGCTGAACTCGGCCAGCTGAACTCGGCCAAGCCGAACTCGGCCCAGGCCGAATTGTCAGCCTGGCCGAGTTCGGCCTGGCCGAGCTTCGCCTGGCCGAGGTCGGCCCGTGGCCGAGCTTGTCCTGGCCGAGTTTCGTGGCTGCCTCCGTGCTCCCCTCTTCTCCCGAGGACGACAAGGCAGCGAGGCCACGGGGGGGGGGCGCAGGAGGAGAGGGGCGAGAGGGGGGCAGGGGGGAGGGGGAAGGGGGCCGATGATCTCTCTACGCGTGCCTGGCTGCCAGAGGCCCCGCAAGAGCCCCAACAGAAGGGCAGCACATCCCATGCACGGCCGATCTGTGCTTCTGCCGGCCTGCCGCCGAGGAAGGGCAGGCAGCCTCGAGGGCCGGAGCTCCGGGAGCCCTCGAGGGCTCCCCCGCCTGTCTGGAACGCCCCGCATGCAGTGCGCCCTGCCCCCCTCGGCCTACGCGGCCGCACCGCCCCCCCACCCCCCCTGAGGACGATGATTTTCGTTCGTGATAGTTCATGAGGACGGGGCTTCATTTCGGGCGCTGCGCCCCACGACCAGCCGCACAGGCAACGAGGGGGACCGGGGGGCCGAACGAGGGCCCGCAAAGAGGAGCGAAGAGCGAGGGCCAGGATGCGAGCGAAGACCGACTCGGGGGAGCGGGGGCTCGAAGGCGCTTCGCGGTGCACCCACAGCGGAAGCGGAAGCGGAAGCGGAAGTGCACGGCAAGATGGAGAGGGTCCACCCAGCAGGTTTGGACTGCGTGCTTGCTGCGGAACGAAGGACCCAGACCCTCGACGTCATGGTTTTGCTCAGGACGTCGACCCCCAGAGGTGGTCCCGACCTTCTCCCCGCGACTGGCGTTTCATCCTGAGCCCTCGTTTGACGGTCCCGCGGCCCGCAGGGGCCCCCAGAAAGCGAAAATCTAGAAAAACCTTCCGTCGTGTTTTTTCCATGACTCGAGGGGGTCTGTGAGCGCTTTTATATTTGGCATTTCGACATGGGGCGGAAAAGGGGGGGAGGGGGGGGGTCTTGCTCCGAACTTCTGCTTAGTGCGACTGTTTGCAGCCGCGCGGCCTCTGGCGGAGACTCCACCCGCTCGAAACCGGCGCCAAAAAGAAGCCAAGATCTCCTCCATGGGGGGGGGAGGAGGGGGTGGTGCGAGGGGTGGTGCGAGGGCCAGCGCCGATCGGCAAAACAAACGATAGAAAAACGATCACGAGAGAGGGGGGGGGCGTGTTTGGGCTGCGTGCGGCGGTGGGCGGCCCTCGGGAGGCGGGCCCATCCCGCTGCGAGCGCCAAAGCCGCCCCGGAGACGACGCCCGAGGGCCAGCGCAGCGCTGCAGCGGGTGGCAGCCCGAAGGGGCTGCCCCGAGGGGCTCTGCCCCTTGGGTAGGGTCGGGCATGCCCCCCTACAGGCGGATTCTGGACGAAAAATAACAACATATGCAAACATACACAAAACCAGTCAAACAGATCATAACTATGTTTGAAGGTTCCTCCTGTGCAGGGACAGGCCCGACTTAAACCCGTGGGGCCCGCCAGACGGGTGCACGCGGGGGGGGGAGGTAGGCAAGGGAAGGGAGGGGGGAACCGACCTCTGTACACCTTTCGGGCGGGTGGTAACGGGAGGTGGCCTGGACGGGAGGTGAAGAAAGCAGCCTCAAAGGAGCCCTTCCTAGGGCCCCTGTCGGGCCCCCGCTGGCTCCAGAAGGGACCTGGAGGGCTCCTTTACGTAGGGCCCCTTCTCTTCACCCCCCCCACTGAGGCCACCGCCCATCATCACCACTGGCCCGCACCCCGGGTTGCTCAGTGAGCGTCGGGCCCCCTAGCGCGTGCGGCGCGCGGCGGTTCGTGGCGGGGGTCGATTCGAGGGCCCCCGGCGGGGGCCCCCCCCCCCCCCCCCGGGTGCGTAGTACTCCACGGCTGGGAGGACATCCCCCAGCCAGCTCGTCTGTAAGTGCCATGCACACAATTGTTGTCGCGCCCGGTGGGGGATGCCGGGCCCTCGAGATCGCTGGCCCATCATGCACCCCCAGGCCCCCCATCGTGGCCCTCCATCGTGGCCCACCCGTCGCCAACCGTGCAAAGCTGTTCAGGGACTTCTGCCGCAAGGATGGCACATACGTATCCACCGCTTCCCAGGGTCCGAGGGCACAGGCTCTCACGGCGTGGGAGATGTACAAACTCCCGCCCCGGAACTCTGGAACTCGGCGTGTGGAGAAGGCCCCCCCCCTGGCCTGCGCAGCCGCTCCGAGACGTCGCCCCACGAGAGGTCGCAGCCCGCGAGCCGCTCGGGGAGGGCGGGATCACCGAGCGCGGGAGAAAGTATCATGGCGAGCAGCTTACCCCTTGTCTCTGTGTAACTCAGCGGCGTTGCCTCGCCCGGTGCCTTGTGGCCCCGCACGAACGCGCGTATGTCGTCCATGTTTTTGCTGGGAACGCCCACGCCCTTGTACGGAAGACGGTCGCGATTGTAGGCTAGGCCGACAAGGAGGACCCGCCCGTTCCCGTCGAGCAAGACGTCCTGACTGCCCCAGGTGCGGGTGCTGTTCGGGAGGTCTGCGAGCTGGTCCTGCCCCAGGACGAACGTGTCGAGCGCAGCCAGACGGCACACGCTCTCGGGGTAAGAGCCCGACAGGAGCTGAGGCCAGCACTTCACGGCTGCCTCGGGCACACACGCGTCCTTCTCGCTGTACAGCTCCTCCTCCTGCTCGTCCAGGCAGGCCTGGCAGCTCTCCTGCTCCGGGCTCTCGCTGCCCGGCTCGGAGATGCCCTTGCAGAGACAGCCGCCCTCGTCCTTGTGCTTCAGCTCGCAGACGCTGTCTGGCGTACGAAGGTCTAGGAGGGATCGGATCTCGGTCCCACGCACCCTTGGGATAAATTCCATCACCGCCGGCAGGGTCAGGCGATTCAAACCCAAAGATCTGTCCTCCTCGAAAAACGCTTTCCATGCTTTCTCAGGAACCCACTTCTTCATTGTATCCAAAAACTGCTTGCTATCGCTAGAGGTTGGCGGCATAATCTTGAATGCGGGGTGGGCTACACTCGTCAGCTCGAAGGACACCGCCTCGCCAACGCTGAACCCAGGTCTCACCACCACTATGTTCTCCTTCGTCTGTGCGAAGTACACCTCGCCGTTGCTGCTCTTGTCAGCCTTCAT